GGCTACTTTGAGAGCTCACTGTGCCTAAATGCTGCATTTGTTGTTGACGCTCAGCTTACTAAGAAATCAACAGCTCTCCTATACTTTATATTAGATTTACTATGTTATATAGTTGTAACTTTAAACATTTTCTGCCTTACATGAAAGACATTTATTCATTGCCTGTTGTATACATAGCACTATGCAAAAGATTCCTTGTGATATAGAAGTCAAACCTTTGTACTGACATTTGTTCTAAATTCACTTCCCTTTCTTCTCTGTTTCCAAGGCATACAAATGTAATTTTAAAAATAATTCAGGCAAATAATTGTAAATTTAACTAGGGTAAAAATATTTTCTTGACAACTTCCTTATCAGGATTTATGTGTATGAATTACTCAGACAATAGTATCTCTATAAAAATAAATTTAAATATAGAAAATTCCTAAAATGCCAATGGATTTTTCTCATTATATGTATTTAATGGTGCAGATAATAGTAACCCCTTAAGGTTGTCTAGTATACTGCAGTTTCCAAAGTATCTTCACAACTGTTTATTTACCCATCTTGGAAAGAACCCTGTAGAAGTTCATGCAGATTCTGTGGTTTCTTTATATTTTTGATAAAATCTGGGCTCAAAGATAATGTAACTTGTCCGAGAAGATGTGTGCAGGACAGTTCTCTGGGTGGCTTGGACCAACCCAATTCTCCCATTCTTGCTTGTAGTCCTCAAGAATGACTGTAGTAAGTACTAAGAATACAATATAGTAAGACAGGAAGAGATTGGCCAGCAAAGCCCTGGCTTCTGTGTTTTTTTTTCTCCCCTAGAAATAGGATGTCTATCAATGCTTTAGCCAAGCATGTCATGAATATAGTATAAAACCCAATATAGGCTGCTTTCCAGGGACTTTCAGCTGTGGTACAAGTGAGAAATGCACAGTTGGTACTTCATCTACCCTGGGAAGCTTTCCTGAGGTTCGGTGGGACCAGCTAGCAATGAATACTAGGCTTCTATTCTTCCTTATTGCCCATTTGTAATTAATAAACCTGCCTGATGTAAATTCTTGCATTGGGTATTCTATCTCACCATACTTGAATAAGTTGATAGCCAGTGCAAAGCAATGGTCCCATTTTGAAGAAGTAATAGGCAGCATTGAAGTTAGGCCTTGGGATTTTTGGTTGCTAGGGCAATACTAGTTCCATTATAATATGTTAATTTATAAATATGATTAAGTTACTTAATATTTCCAAGGCGACTTAGCACATAATGAATATTTTTCTTGAAAGATGTAAAAAATTATTCCAATGCTAGTAATTAAATTAAGTAAAACAAAACAGATCAAATAAGATGTTTGATATCTATTTCTAAAGAGAATGTTTAGAGAAGAATATACTGGACTGGATAAAGATGAAAGTAATGATGATTTGCAGATTCCAAATTGTTCTTCAGAGAATTTTCAAGGAATTTGTGAAATGGTAATATGGGAATGTGGCTATATTTCCTTCATATGATTTGACTTAAAAATATGAGATTATTCTTTCATATTCCTTAATACCAACATATATAAATTATGACAGGGTAATATCTTTTATAAATCTGGAAGAAAGGTGGAAAAATAAGAGAAAAAAATGGAGAGAGAATTTTTAAAGGCTATTAGGAAAGATTTAGAAAGGCAGAAAAATGTATTTTAAAAAGAGCTTGCTGATGTAAATTGTACTGAAATGTGAGGAAAGAAAATAATGACCAAAAGTGGGGATCATGATATGTGCAAGATAACTGAGAAGATGAAGAAAGAAGACAAAGACCACATTCTTTTCTTTCCTGGAACGTTCTTGAAAAAACTCAGAAGACATATGTAGTAGGATGCAGATCTGAAGATGGCCCCCAGTGATCTCCATCTTATGTAATCTCTCATTGAGTATAGGCTGGTTTCACTGAGTTGTATCTAGTGAAAGGAATAGAGCAGAGGGAAAGGGATGCCACTTCTGAGGTTAGACTACAAAAAGTCTTTAGGTTCCATCTCTAGCACCTGCCCCTGATCTTTCATGGTGTGGGCAGCTCCTTCTCATGCATTCTCTCTCTCCCTCTCTCCCCACCACCCACCCCACCCCATCTCTAATTTTCTCTTTCTTCCCTTCTGTCTTACTACTTGCTCTAGGGAAATCAAGTGGACATGTTGTGAGTGACCCTATGTAGATGCCAACATTGGAGAAACTAAGGCCATGAGTCCAGCAGTACACAAGAAATTGAATCCTTTGAATAGCCATATGAGAAGATCATTCAGTCCCAAATGACTCTTGAGATCACTCTACTCCTGGCCTGCATTACCATTCTAAATTGAAATTAATAGATAATAACCCAACTGCATATAAATTTTCAAAAATTTATTAATGAAATATTCTAATTATAATACAAAGGAGAATAAAAGGGAATATTTTAATATAATGTAATATGATTTCAATATATAAATATTCTTGCATTGCTACACTAGAAAGACTATTGAAACAGTCAAGTGCTTGAAACTATTTGTGACTTCAAAATCAGACTGCTACAGTTGTTTTGCCTTTTCAAATAACACATGTAACATTTCTAATGTGATGTGATTTTGTGATTTTCTAAAATGACAAACAGCTCTTGTTACAATAAGACAAAATACCAAATTCCCTTGAAATAGTGAGTAATGGCAACTGTAGGATACAGTTATGGCAGTGTATTGATTTTAAAACATTTTTGTATGTATGTTATTGTTTATTAATTTCATTTCAGAATTTTAAAGCAGTCATAAAAAATAATTTTAATAAAAAGAAAGGCACTAAGTTTAATAAGCACTAGTCTAGAGAAAAAGCTAAAATATAGAAAGAATGTTGAATCAACTTGGCGGGTGGTAAAATATCGACTCAGCAATTCAATGCTAAAACAGCAATGTCTAACTGTATATAATTTAAGGAATTCCTGATCATTCATCTATGTTTCTTCTTAACATAAACTTTGTAACCTTCACCTTCCAAGATATTGATTCCTTGTCATCTTTAACACAATAACCCCAACTATTGTTATTCAAAGCCTTTCTTTATTACCCTGTCACTAATCAAGCTCTACTTCATTTTATAATAAATTTTAATTCTACCATCTTTTTCTATATGTCAACCAGATGTTTGTCAATCCAGATCCATGCTAGAAAGAAGCTATGTGACATTAATCCTTTAGAAATACTGGAATATTTCTAATGTGCACCAAATATGAGCTGAGCATTAATTTTTGATCATCTTTGAGCAGTGAGCAATGTACTAGGAACAGAGTTGTCATAATGGGGTTGGTTTTGTTATAGTTGTATAAACTTTGGTATTTTAATGTATGCATTGTTCTTCACTCAATTTTTACTTTATAATTATTGATGGTTTATTAATGTCACTGTCTAGAGATGCTATACAATACAAAACAGAGGATCTAAATAAATCTCTCCTTATAATTCTATAGGCATTAGTGGGTTAAGCAATTACTAAATAGCGTAACTAAAATGTAAGAAGAAACTTTGCCTGTACTAGCAGGAGCAAAAAGGCAGGAAGGGAGGAGAAATGAAGGAAAACTAGGAAGAGAAAAAGATGCGGTATTTAATGCAAGGGTAAATGCTTTGAAGGTTGATGATGCTGGTACTTTTCAACCGGTCAATAGTGCTGAGCAAGAAAAACCCTAAGGTCATTTGCAGAAAAGCTTACTAGTCTGCAAAACCATATTACATCGACATAAAATTCTGTAACTTTAACTTGCAAAACCTACACTCTGCATTCAAAGGCAGAAAAATCAAACCTGTGTCTTATTGCACATCGTTGACTTTCTGGGATAATAACACCTTGCATTCTCTTTTGCTGTCAGGCTACCTTGGCTTGTCTGCAGCTCTTATGAAAGATAAAAATATTGAGCTTGTCTTACCATCTTGTGCTGATGCTCCACATGCTCACAAATCATTAAGATTTCATTTTCTTTCAATTATCATCACAGTCAATGTGGTATTCATAGAACTCGTTGAGATTTTCACATCTACTTATAGTTGTGAAACTGGTCACAGAATATGTCTCAGCAGTTCATTTGCAAATCCCTAGTTGAACCCCAATTTTAGCCTCCAAAGAAATTGTCATGAACTGTCCTCAGGCCTTCACACCATCATTTCTCTTCCAAGTTTCAGCAAAGGACTTGCTTCATTTGTTTGAATAACAGCAGTGACTGAATAGAAAGGTCCTCAACTTTCTTCCTTTATCTAAAAGTATAACTTTAGTTTTATCTATATTTCACCTTTTTCCAATCTCAGTAAAGAAATAGTCTCTGTTCTAAAGTTAAACCTTCTCTATTTGTATAATCTTCAATCTATTCATTGTCTTCTATAAAATTGTTCCTTAAATTTTTCTCACTCTAATTTATACAATTTATCCCTTCCAGTTCCCCGTACTTCTTAGACTACAAACACACACTCAAAATTCGCACCTACCCACAAATTCCTTCACTCCAGCCACCTCAAGCTACTCTTCTATCTCTACAATTTCCATCATTAATGTTTTAAAAGAATAGTAAATTCCTGTCTCCTTTTAGTTTCTTCAATCTACTTAAATTTGTTTTCTGTTTCTAACAATTAAAATTATTTTCAGACTTTCCCATGCTCACTTCCTTAACACTGTCATTCACAAACATATTCTCAAGGTCTCATACTTAGTATATGCTCAATAAAAATTTTATGGAATAAAGTAAAAATATTTGCAAATTTCTTGTTAAGCCAGTCAAAGATTTTGGCAATCAGTCTCAAATATTTGTTTTTCTAGTTATCTCTTGCTGTTTCAAATGATATATCCTCTGTTTCAAAGTGAGCATAGTCTGAGCTCCGAATCAGTCTTCACTTATCTGTTCCTGGAAGAATTTTCTTTTTCTTTCTGCTAATAAGTCCTCTCTGCAAAGGAATTAGAGAATAGTAGCTAAGAGCTTGGCATGAGATGTCACATCTCTTGAATTAAATTTCAACTGAGTAACATACCATCTGTATTAATGGTCATTATTACCTACATATTTTTCAAGGATCATGTGAAATGTCCTCTTTCATTATCACCACTAGCAGTGTGGAGGAGGAAAACTCCTCTCTTTACCCTGCCTAGAACCTCAGAAACTTTTGTCCCCCATTAATTTGAAAATTTCTCTGTGGCTAGAACTGTGTCCCACTGTTCTTGTTCTTTTCCCACCTCTTCCATATCCTCAAGGACAATGCCTTCTATCTGGAAGTCACTGTGATCTTCCCTAAGGAAGGGCAAATTTGTCATTAGCCCTGTAAATGGAAGTTGGAGGAGATATAGGGAGTTACAGGTTGGTATGGCTCCCTCCAGTTTGAGAGAGATAAACAAAGAAAAAATGTAAGCCATTTCCTGAACCAAAAATCTTACTTTAGAAAATCAAATTTTTTCTTTAAATGTATACTGCGATGGGTGAACTGGACCAAAATAGGTATACACAATCCTCGAGTGGAGAAAGATGGGATTAATACCTCTTATCTGATGATGTAGTCAGAGTGTGAAGAAATTCTAAAAATTCAAATCACCTACTCCAAGATGGTAATTGAAAAGCAAACTTGCATACCTCTCTATAATACTTGCTTGCCAAATCCCCTGACTTACACTGAGAAGTAGGAGACAAGAAGGTAAGGCAGTGAAGAGCCAGAGGGGTCACTGAGTGAGGAGTGTTGATATAAACAAGGAGATTGGTGGATGAAACAGTCCATGATATATAGTTAGATATGGCAGTTAAAAATGACAATAGTTGTTATTACCCTCATAGTCTAAATGACAATAGTTGTTATTACCCTGGTAGTCTGCCAGGATAGTGATTGAGATCTAGGGGACTGATCAAAGAGGCATTATATTTTAAAAGATGTGAATCAAATATCTAAGCAATTAGTCCAAATTTGCTTAATGTGAAGGTCTTTGGGACACACAATCAAAAGGTTTAAGAGAGGAAACAAGGGAAGAACAGAGACCAAAATCTCGAAGTTGAGCTTGAGAAGTAGAGTCTACGCAATTTCCTTAAGGTAACCAAACGGTAGCTGCCTTGACATCGTATGTGATTCTTGTGACTGGTTCCTGGGTTATATGAAGGAATTGATGTGTGCCTCTAAAATTAACTCCACCCAGCAAAATTATCCACATATTTTGCAGAAATTTCTACCTCAGAGTAGAATTGCATCCTTGTGTCTAAACTTCATCCTGGAATTTGCTTTAGTTTCTGGATAAGAAAATCGTTGGCAACATCTTAGTTGTGCTCTTTCAAGTATATAATATTTAATTTAATATTTAATAATAATATACTCTCAAAGTAGAGAAATCAAGAAGGCAAAAATTATAGCTTTGGACCGAAGGGGTATGAGTATAAAGATAGTGAAATTTGACACTTTAATTTGAAGAATGGAAGCAGGGAATGTTTCTGGAAACAATAGAAACATAGCAAAAGAAATGGTTTGAGCTGAGAGTTGGAGTCCCAACAGTGACTAACAAAAGCTGGACACTTGTGGAGTATAAACAGAGGTCGAGGTGAGGTTCTACCTATGACATTGGAGGCCATTGATGAATCATGTGCTCCTGCATCACATGCCAACATGGTGTAGGGTCTGGTAAGTTTTGGGCTGTGGTTGGGTTTTGTGCTATATCTCATCTGAGAGGCCAAATTGTTAAGCAAGTAGAGAGGAGTGTTTAGGAGTTCTGGTTCTATGAGTAATACTGGACTTTGAATCCTGAATCTCCCATCTTTTGAGTGTGAGATATGAAAGAAGTTAAGGACTATGAATTTGGAAAAATGTGTGACAGTAGGGGTGATGGATGGTACACATTAATTAATAACATCTCAGAGCCAAGACACCCCAATGTTGGACCTCTTCTAACTGAGCCAATTCAAAGAAGAGGAGAGTTCCTTCTGCTCATTCCTAAAGTGACTGCCATCTTCTGACCACTCCAGCTCATTCCTAAAGTGGCTCATCTTCTGACCACTCCAGCAGTATTATTAAATCTAAAGAGTTGAGTAGTCTCAGAGTAATTGAGGCCATAGGCAGTTTCGCAGCCTCAGGAGGCTGAAGCCAATAGCATGGAACAGCTTTGACAAATTCATGACAGCTTGAAAGACATGACTTGAAGAATTTATAAACAATTGCCAGGGAAACAACATGTTAGCAAACAGAAGTCCTACTAATTGCTTATTTGACTGTTTTTAATCAAAGTTGAAGTATATCTAAATTGTTTACATGATCAAGTTTAGTCTTTGTAATAACTATATAAGTATATAATACAGTCTTGACCGCATAGAAAATTAAGGATGAAAATAGTGAAAAAAACATACCAATAATCACAAAATATGTAAATCAATAGCAAGGTTTTAGACTGAACTTTCTTTCTACGTATCTCTCATTCTGTCACCTAGTGACTAGTTGATAGAGCTATCAGATGCACATGAAGGTAATAAACCTGCACTTATTTGAAAATGTTCTTTTGCCCAGCCATTTCCTGAGCCTTCTCAGTCTTATCCAGCAAGTTGCATTGAGAAGGCTGGCTCTGCTGTTTTCAGCAATTTGCATGTTCTATGACTGTTTGGTGAGACAGTCTAGAAGTCACACCTAGATGGCATCTCTACTGTTTAACAGGAAATATTGTCTCCTTTTAACTTTGTATGTCTTCTGCCAAAGAGTTTTACTTATCCAAATTTAACAAAACATCCAAGCAATCAAATAGTTTTACTCCTCCAAATTTAGCCATACAACCAAGCAATCACGAGCAACAAAGATGTATGAAGAAATTGACCTGAGCTTCTAAAATTAACTCTACCCAGATGGAGTTAACTACAAAGATGTATGAAGGAATTGACCTGAGCCTCTAAAATTTATTCCAGGGAAATGGCTCATCCCAGGAATCGGAATTTGAGCTTTGGCAAGCCTTGCCACCATGGGCTAAAGTGCCCTGGAGTTGTAAATAAACTTGAAAGGCAGTCTAGGCTTCAAGGACTGCAACTCATAGGGAAGCCCTAGAGCTGTACTCAGCTCGGAGCCAGCCAGTGGACTTGACTATCTAAACTTATTTTGTTTTGTTTCTGTTTTCTAAATCAACCTAGAGCAATTCATCTCTATTAGACAATGCCTTTGCCCTTTGGAAAATTGCTCTTAAGCATCACGATGAAATAAAAAAGGGAATATTATGTTGCCCCTGTTGCCTCCTAAAAAAATAAATAAAGCACTTTAGGTCCTTGATATGGTTTGCATTTGTGTCCCTACCCAAATCTTTTGTTGAATTGTAATCATAGCCAGTCTCTGGTAGTTCTTTATAGCAGTGTGAGGGCTTGGAGGAAGGAAAACACAGTGCCTGTGGACTGTGCATTGAACTCAGGGCAGCCCTGTCATAGAGGAAAGAAAAACCTGGCTGAACTCAGCCAATGTTGGTCCATGAGGGAGCATTTAGACCAGCCACAGCCAAAGGGAAATGGCTCATCCCAGCAATCAGAATTTGAGCTTTGGCAAGTCTTGCCACCATGGGCTAAAGTGCTCTGGAGTTGTAAATAAACTTGAAAGGCAGTCTAGGCTATAAGGACTGCAACTCATAGGCAAGCCCTAGAGTTGTACTCAGCTCGGAGCCAGTGGACTTGGCAAGCACATGACCTAATGAGACATCAGCTGAAGTTGCTAAGGGAGTGCTTGCACTACCCCTCCCCGAACCCCAGTTAGTGCATTTCATAGCACAGCAATGAAAGTCCTTCTTCTGCTTAAGGAGAGGAGAAAGAAAAGTAAAGAGGACGTTGTCTTGCATCTTGGATACAAGCTCAGCCACAGTAGCATAGAATATAGGGCAGAGTCACAAAGCCTCCATCTAGGGCCCACTTCCCAGACACACATGGGGCCAGAAGGAAACTTACAGCCTTGAAGGGAAGAATCCGATCTTGGTAAGATTCATCACCTGCTGACTAAAGAACCCATTGACTCTGAACAACCAGCATTGATACCCAGACAATACATTGTGAGCCTTCAGTGAGACTCTGAGATATACTGGCTTCATGTGAGACACAGCTCAGTTCCAGATGCGGTGGCTATGGGCCAAGACTCCTTTTGCTTTAGAAAAGCACAGGGAAAAGTAAAGGGGATTTTGTCTTGCACCTTAGGTATCAGTTCAGTCACCGTGGTGTAGAGAACCAAATGGGCTCTTGGGGACTTGGATTCCAGGCCTCAGCACTGGGAAGACATTCTGGACTTGTCTTGGTTCATAGGGGAGCCCACTACCCTAAAGGATGAGTCCCAGGCCCAGCCGTCTTCATTAAATCTAACTGAAGAGCTCCCTCATGCCTTCTGTGAACCTCAGTGATAGCCTGACAGTACTACCCATTGGCATCTGGGTTTGTTGGCCCAGGGAATGATTTCTCTGCTTGTAGAGAGGAAATGGAAGAGCAGGAAGGACTTTGTATTGTGGTTTAAGTGCTAGCTCAGCCACAGTAGTGTAGAACAGCAGGTAGATTTCTAAAGTTTTTGATTCCAGTCTCTCCCCCAGATGGCATGTTTTCCCAGAGCCTGGGGGAACTCACCACCCTAAAGGGAAGAACATAAACCTGGATCACTTCACCACTTGCTTATTGTTGAGGCCTAGGGACATTAGTGAATATACATGGTAGTCAGGTAGTGGTTACAGCAGGCCTTGGGTGAAAAATAGTGCTGTGTTGGGTTCAGGAATGACCCAGCACAGTCCCAGTGGTGGTGGCCACAGGGAGGGTTGTGTCACCCAATCTCTACTATAAGTGGCTTAGAACAGAAAGAGAAACTTTGTTTGGGAGAAAGCAAAAAAAGAGAACAATAGTCTCTGCCTGATAATCCAGATAATTCTCCCAGATTTTAGCCAAAACCACCAAGACTCCTCTGTGAGTCTTCATGAACCATGTACTTACTAAGGCTGAGGTTTCCCTGAATGCAGATACAGATTAGATCACAATCTAATACCTTCAAATATCTGAATACCTTCAAATATCTGAAGAGACATCAAAGCAATAT